GAGAGTAAAAGGAGGAAGAGGAGTAGGAACAATGTATGTAAAGAGAGAAAAGAAAAGAAATTGCACGCTGACCTTTTATCCTGCACGCATGCGATGCCACATTTGTTTTTGTTACTGTATGACAACATTGTTTGCCATAATTCCCATTTGAACGGTTAATTTGCTTCTAGTACTTTTGGACTTAATACAATGAATGGTAACTCATGTAACATAAAAGTGGTCACAAAGCCGGTAGTTACGTACTTATCTCAAATCTTGATTCATATTAGTTTGAGAAGCCTCATAATATTATTCAAGACTACCTTTTTGAAGATTGTAATCTTTTATGATCTATCAATAAAATTACGATTATTTCTTGTTTAGTGTTTTTTTATTATCAATTTTTGTTAAGCATTAGTGATCAGTTCTATTTGTGCATATTTTCAAAACTATTAAGATTTGTTTATGCTAGATTAGGCTACAATTGCATTTCACAAAACCATGAATCTGATTAGATTTGCAATTGGTGATTCCAATATTACACTCCCATAAACTTCCACATCCAGAAATTTTGAGTGCGACGGAACCACTTGACCATCGAGCAATAATGTGGTTCAAATTTGGTATTAGCGAGAATCGAACCTAAAACCTCTCACTTACAAATTAAAAGAAATACTATTACACAGTAGTACTAAATGACATTTAAACTTAATTAAACTTGTGACATTCATTTTTGCGGAAACCTCCGATTGGGTTAAAGCCCGGTCGGGCCTATGGGTTTTGCACAAAGTATAGGAGCTTCTGCAACTCTGCCCCCACCCGACCCGAACCTGATATTTCTCTTTACTCGTTAAACCCTAAACCCCCAAATCCCCAGACTGTGTCATCACACACTGTCCATTGAAGTCGGATCACCTCAAATGGCGTTCATCTCCGCCTTCCGCCGCGTCCTCGGAGGATCTTCCTCCGCTCTCCATTCCCAATTCGCAGCCATTCGTCACAATTCAACTCTCACGTCCCCCAGGCTGTTCATCAGCGGTACATTTCGATCTCACCCACTTCGTTAATTGCTTTCTGTTCTTCCCTGTTTGCGAAATCCAGTCGAACCTGCAGAAAACCATGTTTTTATTTTCATTTTTTCGATAATTCTTTCGTTTTCACTTGATTTGTTAAAGGTTCCATCTTTTTTGAAAATTGGCTAAATTGATCAGAAATCAAATCCCAATTTCTGGAGTAATTAAAATTAAATATCGATGAAATATTGACGACATAACGGTCAATGATTGATAATATAGTGATTATGTATTGACGACATACTGAAAACTGATCATTTGAGCAATGGGGATTTAAAAAATTTCATCTTTGCCAATTTCCCATATTTTTCTTGTTTTATGGTGCTTTGTTAAAATTGGTTGTGATTCCCACCAGATGATGGGAGTTAATATAATTTGGTGCTTCTTAACAGTTTAGTGTATGTTTGTGGTTTATAAGGCCTTTTGTAATTGCATAGTCTTGTGCTTCAATCTGTGTTCCTTTTTTGTTATTTTGGATTTGATTACAAAGCTTCAATCCAAGACATTCCAATTTTTCAACCGATTGATCGAAAAGAAAACAAAACTAATACGGCTGCAAATGTGTTAAAGTCTTGTAAATACGCCATCTGTTTACTGAAGAACTGTTGAGACTCCTGAATCCTGACTCCTGTGGAAACTACATTACCGTTTGTGTTATATGAGAGTACATGCAGATTCTTGAATTAGTACCATTGCTTCTTTGAATTGCAATGAGCAGGTCTCTCAAGATTAACAACAGACGAAAAGCTTAGAGAGGCATTTTCCCCATTTGGGCAGATTGTAGATGGTAAATGTTGATTCAGCTTGTTTTTTTTGCTGTCCTAACACTTCTTACATCGCTTTAACCTGAACTCATTGTGTTTGTTGATCATGCAGCGAAAGTGGTTATCGATAGGGTGTCTCAAAGATCAAAGGGTTTTGGTTTCATTACATACGCATCAGTTGAAGAAGCCGAGAAAGCTAGAGAAGGGATGAATGCCAAGTTCTTGGATGGGTGGGTTATTTTTGTCGACCCTGCCAAACCTAGGGAGCCTATATTTCAGCCACCTCCGCAACCACAGCAGGACCCTTCTGAAACCGGCTTCAGATCAAACAAGACCATCGGATGGTGTGGATGATGACTGCGTTAGTTACTTCGGTTTAATCTCATTGTGATGAAAAGGAGGGCAGTTTAAACACTGTAAACTCTTTGGTTATTTGTATTGAGAAATACGAAACACTTAATAGGTGAATGAATTATTGGACGGGCCTATCGATACATTAAATTTCCCTCTTGATTGTGCATGAATGATTCGTTAACCTCTATCTGGACGATGGACTGTCAAATACAATGGAACTTACACTAATTTTGTTACGCTTGCACTACGAAAATTAGATAGAGGGATTCGACAAATAATAGATGCACTAGAAATTGAGAGGACTTTCAAATAACTTATTGAAAGGCGGTGTTTTTGAAGTCCTTGTATGTAGCTTTATAGTGCATGAGTAGTTCATTCGGAAAAACAAATCGATCGTCATATCCCTTAATTCATTTGTGTACGAATTTTCTAGCTTTTGTATATCCCACAAGGCAAGCCTGTCACATCTTTTATCCTGCAACAATGTCCCAAGCAAATTCTACAAACCTTACTTTTGCGCGCTACGCATCTATTTCCTTCTCGACCCTCCTCCTCCTCCTCAACACCGTCTTCACGAAGATCGTCAGTCACCCCTCCTCCTTCTCAAAGATTTTATGCTCCTAAAGTATATGTCAGAAATATAAAGCCTCATCTTGGCACCATTTCCTTCATCAGAGTCTACCGAGCCCAAATCACAAACTGTGCTTGTTTTTTCGCTTGTTGAAGGTTCTTCTTTTTCTTCGAAGAAATAATTGACGTAGTATTTATTATTTATGATGAGTGTGGAGTTGAGCTCGATTTTAAACGTGTCAAGTTGATCATGGTGGTTTAGCTGGTCTAGTACTACTCGTGTGGCAAGGGACTTCACGTCACAAGTGAATGCCCGATGTACCTCGTGATAGACTTTCTTATAGACTTCCTTTGCTGAATAGTCAAAAGAAAATATCGCTATAGCAAATAGTGCTGTGGAATACTACAGAAAATAGCTCTATATATATAGCTTTTCAATCCATGTGGACAAGTTTGTTTTAAATCAATATGAGGTATTCTAAAATACCTTTGTTTACAAAAAAAATTACTCTCATATCACTCAGCTTTTTCGCTCCACCGTAGGAGTTTGATTCTTATATTATTACTTTGTTAGTATCACACTCAATTTTTGGGTCCACTACGGAAGGTCTAACCTAGAAAAAATGAGTGTGATATCAGTATATTGAACTCATATCGAAATCCTACGCCTATAGTTGGACGGAAAATTTGAATATGATACCAGTATATTGAAATCTTGAGTTCAATATATTAAACTCATGAATATGATATTAATATATTAAACTCACACTAATATAGTATTATTATCGGTATCAAACCTAAAATGCCTGATTTATATATATAGTTATTACACTCACTCAAACTTTCGTACAAATTAGAAACATTACCACAAACAGTAGTATTAAGAAGTAACATTGTCATTAGCTTGTCTCTTAACTTGTTATATGTGGCTTGGTAAACTATAATATTGTCTTTTAACTTGTTCTATGTGGCATTAACGGTCACACTCACACGCAAGGATAAGGATGGGCAAAATACCTATGGGTTTGGGTAACCGTGGTTACCTGCCCATTTAAAGTTCACGGTTACGGTTATGGATAACCGTTTAGACGAACAAACGGTTATGGGTATAACTGTTTATCTATGAAATTTAAATGGTCGGTTATGGGTATTACTTGCGGTTATAACGAGTATCCATTTACCCATTTAATTTAATATATGTAAAATTTAAAATAAAATTAAAAACCCTAACTTTTCAATTTCTCCACCAGCACTAGACTCAGAGTCTCAAACGCCCCGTCCCTTGCTCATCTTTCCCTCCTTGTTGCCCTTTCCCCTCTCCAAAGCTCACTCTCTATCTCAATAAGCAAGCGGAGCAGAGGACTTCAGCCGGGATTTCGAGTGGACTAGCATAGCTGATCAAAGCTCAGGTGAACACGGGTTTGTCTATGTCGTGTTTAGTTATTTGATTATTGGTTGATGTGGTGCGTTTTGATTCCCTGCCTGAAACGTGGAAACCCCATGAATATCATCAACTTGCTCTGATCAATCGCTTGTTTCCTCCTTAATTTAATTACATTTGAGTCAGTAAAGTTTAAGTATTTCAAGTGAGAATTTTCATAATTTGTGTATTTGTCAATGTTTAAGATATGTTACTGCATGCTGGCATGAGCGTAGCTGTATTGACTAGAACAGATGTACTCCCTTGTTGCACCTAGATAAGCAAACTTATTTAATTGTCAGAAAACAAAAATTATGACAAATTTTTCTTTTGTAATTTTCAAGTTGTTTAAAAAAAGCATATAGACGAGTGAAAAATGGGGTAAATGGGTAATTAAAAAAAAAGAAGGATAAACGGGTTCAAAAATGGGTAAACGGGTATGTTTATGATTAAATGGGTAAACGGTTATGATTAAATGGGTACACGGTCATGGATATGGTTAACCGTTTATAAATAGGTTATGGATATGGGTATGGATATAATTGTTTATGCAATTACCCAATGGGTAAACGGTTATGCAGGGTATGAACATAAACGGTTATGGATAAATAACCGCGGTTACCTTCTGCCATAATCGTTACCCATTCCTACGCAAGAAAAGTCCTATAAAATAAATAAATATATATTTTATTGTTGATAAAAGTAAATTTCATTACCAACCAAAACAAATACAATAAAGGCCTAAAACAAGTTAAGTACAACAAAAGAAAATGGGTCACAATCACACAAAAGAAAACGGCCCAATACCAAACTTGGAGCTCACTACACACAAACAAACTACACAGAAGAACCCTAGAAAACTAAGCTTTCAGAAGCTGCAGACAACATCGTCGCGGCCACCAGAAAACCGCGCGATCCTGTAACACTGTTCATAAGCACAGTGAGCTTCCTGTCTTACCCCAGCTAAGTTTGCATTGTTATATTTTTAAACGGACAATAATGTCCCGCACTCATCTCTTTCCTCCTAAACCCTAAGCAGATAATTCAAATTGAAATTCCTCTCCTTAGACCTTTGGAGCTTTGTTCCGTTTCAAGCTTTTCGACGGTAATTGGACGATTCCTCCGACGCCGGCCATCAAGGTTAGTCTGAAACGATTCCTACCTTATTGACCTATTGCATGTCAGAATCTGCTTCAAATTTGTGATTTAATATAATTGGGCTTTAGAAAGATCTTCATGATTTTGTCTAATCCAATTTCACGATTAGAAATTTCGCTTGGGGTGGGGACTGCAATTTCACCTGCTCCAAACAAATAGATTCTTTTTAGTCTGAATTTAGAAAATTATATTGGAATTTTGTTTTACATCTGATTCAGTTGGATTTAGGAGTTGTAGTGTTTCCTGGCCTGAGTTGTATATAAAGAAAAAAAAGTGATTTTTTTTGTATCCTAAAGAGTTCATCATGATCATAGACATGAGTCTCATATTATCAAGTAAGATGCCGAGTCCTCTTGCATTCATATATTTACATTTGTGAGCTGCTTTTCTGGGTTTTTGTTGATTTGTTTGCTTATCTGGTATATACAAGAAGAGTGACACCGCCATGAACATTATCAATTTATACAGGAAAAATGTCACACTTGGGCCAATCTAACCATTTATTTTGAGTACATCACATTAGCAATATAATAAAACATATGACAGCGGGGTTCTTTCAAGTCAATTTTTGTTGGCATGTTGTTGTTCATGTAAGTGTTGATTTGATAAATGCGAGTGCTTTTGGCATTTTATGACAAAGAAGAACAAGAATAGAATGTATGCTATAACATTATGAGTCTGAGAACTGAGACGTGAATTGTATGTAGGTAAGCAACAGTTATGTGAGACATGCGAATTGTATGGTACAAGCAACAATTATGTGACTGTTTTTTGGCTAAAAAGATTGTGTGACTTTCTGATATATTGTTCATTACAAAACAAGGAAGAATAGGAAGAAAGTGTAATATATGATCTCTAACTATTCGACTTTGTTCCAAGCAATATTGTTTGGTGAAATAGTTGTGTTAAGATATTGGAGAAAATTAAAAATATTTAAAATTCATTTTGAGGAGGTTCTCATTCTCCAGGTGAAATTTGGATACCAATTCTCAAGATCAGTGGTGCCACAAAGTGGCATATGAAGTAGGGGTCCTTTAACACCTAAAACTTTGTCCTTCTTACATCCACTTTCCCCAAATACGGTTCGAAACGTTTTGGCTGCAAAAAAAAGAGGAAGAATACGTCTAACGTTTCGGCGGCCGCAAAACCCCACTCGTCTCCACACAAAACTCTAAAACCACCGTTTTCAAATCCAACTCCAAAAAACACAGTATATTGGATACTATCGTCGAGATGTATCTTTGCGTTCCTCAATCAGTCTCTGTCAAATTCCCAGCAATCCCTCGTTTCGGTTCGTCTAGACGGGACTTCAAGATTGCCGCTATTTCCATGTCTGCCATTGAAGTCTCCCGTCACATTCCAGCAGCCCCCATTTTTCTCCCTGAAGGCCCTTGGAAGCAGGTTGACCTATACGTCGCCGTTTTTGTTTTAATTTTTGCATTTTTGCCGTGCAATTTCGTTTTCATGTTTATTCAATTGATCAAGACTGTGACTTTGTTTGTGATTCTATAGATTCCCGGTGGAGTTACTGCTGCAGAAGGATTCAAAGCTGCCGGATTGTATGGCGGTCTTCGTGCCATAGGTGACAAGCCTGATCTCGCTCTTGTTACTTGTGATGTGGATGCCACATCTGCTGGTTAGTAGTTAATCACATTTTGAACTATTTGGTTTTGTGTAGCTTTTTGTTTTCGTAACAATTTTTATGTTGGGTTAATCGCAGGATCGTTTACCATGAATGTGGTAGCAGCTGCGCCGGTGTTGTATTGCAAATCGGTATTACACACTTCAGAAACGGTGTGTTGGATTGTCTTTTGTTTCCATGATTTTTTTCCTTATTAGCGAATTATGCTTGGATTATTGTAAATTTAGTGTTGTGTTTCGTATTTTCATGTTTTTGTTTATCTGCTAATGACATATTTTTACGACTTGTTAGGCACGAGCAGTTTTGATCAATGCTGGTCAAGCCAATGCAGCAACGGTAGGACATTTATCGAGGCATATTTTCAATTTATCGTTTATTTTGTTCTCCAAAAACTTTGTAGCTCTTTGAATCACTCTTTGATCATGTTCCAATTCTGTCCAGGGTGATGCGGGATATCAAGACGTGATAGAGTGCTCAAGCAGCCTTGCTGAGGTATGTGGAGAGCGACAAACATGTGTATCTCATAGATACTCTTGCATAGGCTTTTTTATCCCTTGTAAACATGAATCTTTGTGGTGCAGCTACTTCAATTGAGACAAGAGGAAGTGTTGATTGAATCGACTGGTGTGATTGGTCAAAGGATAAAAAAGGTAATAACATAGCCACCATATTTTTGTTTCCTTGATATTCTTATTTCTAATCATATTGATTTGACAGATATATAACATGACATATGCTTAAGTGTTGTATAAGCGAATCACTTGTTAATTCTCCTATGCAGGAAGCACTTCTAAAATCTCTTCCAAAACTGGTTAATTTACTATCATCGTCAACTGAGGGGTAAATGTTAATGCTTAGCTCATATAACTGACATACTTTCGTGTTTATGTACGTGATCGTATTTCTTTTCAGCATTGAATTTCCAAGTTATTCTCTTTTATCTAAACTAACTCTCTTGTTTGTTGGGCTTATGCTATTCTTTTTGTTGTGAAACTATGGGGCTTAAAAATTTGATTTAATCTCCCTGATGTGCCATTTTGGATCGGTCTGTAGGGCAGATGCTGCAGCAGTAGCAATCACAACAACCGACCTCGTTAGCAAGAGCGTGGCAATTCAGTCTCAGGTCAAGTTGTTTCCTATGTTTATATCTTTGATGCATGAGATATCTGCTACTTTTGGAATTGTCCTTGTTAATGTGCTTAGTGATTACTTGTACGGGTTCTGATAGTCTCTCGACCAATGACCCAATCAGAAGCAACTCTTATGTTGCTTGCTTTTGTTTAAGTTATTTTTTTTAATGCATAATCAGCAATGCCAAAATGTTGGCATTACAATTTCGAAGTATATTTACTCTCTTTGATGTAAATTAACTGTCTTGTTATTTAATTGTGATCTAGCTACTGTATATTACTACCAAGTAAACAACATTGAAAAATCAGTCAGGTCCTTACAAAACTGGTGATTTGCTCAGATTGGTGGGACAAATATAAGAGTCGGGGGAATGGCAAAAGGTTCCGGGATGATCCACCCAAATATGGCTACATTGCTAGGGGTTTGTCTTCTAAAGTTTCTCTTGATGTTTTATGCCAGCACCTAATATTTACTAGTAGTTTTATACGGGAACAGGTAGTAACAACTGATGCGATGGTTAGCAGTGATGTTTGGAGAAAAATGGTTCAAATTGCTGTCAACCGGAGCTTCAATCAAATAACAGTAAGTAAAGTTTCTATTTTCTCAAATTTCTAAACATCATACTTAGTGGGACCACCTAACGAGGTGTAATCAACCTAGCTTGTTGCATCTTTCTTTTTGTAGTATGCTGACCCACCTATGGTGTTTTCTGATTGCAGGTAGATGGAGATACAAGCACTAATGATACTGTCATTGCGTTAGCGAGTGGTTTGTCTGGAACCAAGATATCTTCCTATAATAGTAACGAAGCAGTCCAACTTCAAGCATGCCTTGATGCGGTTAGTTCCGCTCATTTAAGTTTTGCCTAACCTCCGTGGTCTAAAAATACTCTAGAGTGAGATCCAAAATTCAGGAATCAATGAAAATTAAATGGAAAAAATAAGTTTTTTTTTCTTGACTTGAGTTTTACTTTTATGTGGTCTAATCCAATTTTTAGGATTGAAATTGTAGTGTCATTTTGCAGGTAATGCAAGGTCTTGCCAAATCAATAGCTTGGGACGGAGAAGGAGCAACATGCCTAATTGAGGTCTGCATTTTTATTCAAGGATATATGTGCTAAACAAGCTGAAGTATGTAGTGTACCAGACCTCCGCTTCTAAGTATAACGGTGGTGCAAATAATACAATCTAAAGATCAGAAATGACATGAAAAGTATATAAAAGTAGAAATTTGATGCTTGATGCTTGAATATTATGTCCTCTTATCTTTGTTTCTTTTCACATTCATACATAACTTGTGCTCACTATTAGAGTAATGTTAAAAATGTCGACCAGATTGCTAATTTTCCGCCGTTTTTTGAAGATTTAATTTTGTAGTTAAAGTCAAATTGTTCTTTAATTTCACAATTATTAGGTTATATTGTGAAGTACTCAGTCAGATCTCGGTATGTAAGTACCAGATTATGCTGGTTGTTTGCACTATGTGTTTTGAACTTTTGAGGATGATGAAATTGAGTGCGTTTGCTAATCCTAACTTAGATGTGCAGGTCACAGTGACTGGTGCGGACATTGAGGCTGAAGCAGCAAAAATAGCACGATCGGTGGCATCTTCTTCACTAGTAAAGGTATGACATCTGAACTCTGCCTACCTTTTTGATGCTTAAGTATACAAATCCTAAATTTACTTTCCAAATGTCAATCAGGCTGCAATATATGGCAGAGACCCAAACTGGGGGCGCATTGCTGCTGCTGCAGGCTATGCAGGAGTACCCTTTGACCAAAGCAAGCTCCAAGTATTGCTAGGGGATATTCTGCTCATGGATCGTGGGGAACCACAATTATTCGACAGGTAACAAAACGTCTCTCATTAACTAGAACACATTTTCCCTCAGTATGTCACCTTCTCGTTTCTCCGCTCTGAGGAGGTCGATCCTAAATTTAGTAGTTTACTAACTGGATTTCCTTTCAGGAGTGCGGCTAGTGACTACCTCAAGAAGGCTGGTGAGATCCACGGCACAGTTGTAATTAGTGTATCCGTGGGTAAGTTTTTGAAACATTTAGAGGATATGCAAGTCAACTATTCAGTTAGAACCATGATTATAGTTTATAACTCGCATCTGCTTGACTACTAAACCTGCAAACTCAACTGTTTTCGTACATCTTTCGTGTCTATCGTGTTTGATATACCCTTTTACTTTTGAACAGGTGACGGCCCGGGGCGAGGTCAAGCATGGGGTTGTGATCTAAGTTATGATTATGTTAAAATTAATGCCGAGTACACAACATAAAGTACTCATTTTGTAATGGTGCAACCCCAACTGGAAAAATATTATCTCAAACTGATTAATGACGACCCAAATCTGTATTTTTTTTATATTTATATGAAAAACGAAAGACTTGTTGTGAATCGATTAAAAATTGAAAAAAGAATCGAGTATTCATTGATCAAATCATTCACTCCACCGTAGTCTGATAGATCTTTTTAATAATTGATTAACCGGACGAGAATAAAGATAGAGACTCATTATACATGTTAATAAGTTCAAGTCCCTCTATCCCCAAAATGATCCCGTTGATTCCCTAATTATTTATTTTCATTCTACTCTTTTCTTTCACAAATGGATCTGAGCGAAAATTTTTTTCTTATCAAAAGACTTGTGTGTGATATATATGATACGCGTACAGTACAAATGATTTGAGCAAGGAATCCATTAAATTTGAATAATTAACAATACATATCATTACTTGTACTGTACTGAAACTTTGAAAATTTATTTTTGAAGATCCAAGAAATTCTATTAGATCCTGTATAATACTTTGTAATACTTTTTCGTTTTTCTAATTGACATAGACCCAAGTCCTATATTAAAATAAAATGAGGATGATGCGTCGTGAATGGTCGGGATAGCTCAGCTGGTAGAGCAGAGGACTGAAAATCCTCGTGTCACCAGTTCAAATCTGGTTCCTGGCACATGAGTAATTTGTATGAGTATATATTCTAAAAATGAATTGATATGAGTCGACATACATATTCATTAATAGTATAAATCATGATACATATTTATCCATCTCTTATATATCATATGTATATAAAGTATACAAAAGAATTAAGATCATAACAAAAAAACGAAAAGGAAGATCTGAGTATTATTAATTTTAAATTAAATTAATAGCCATAACTAAAACTAATAAAATGGCTAAACTAACCATTCCGTTAATTTAGAATTAAAAGATAATTCTAAATAAAATTATTTATTAATCAAATATGAAATTATTTCGAATTATATATAATAAATAATAATATTATAAAATTGTAATATACAATAAATATAGAAATAGAGCAACGTAGTAGCTTGCAAGGCTCATAACCTTGAGGTCACGAGTTTAAATTCTGCCTTCGCAACATGTTTTTTTTTTTTGACAAAAAAAAAAATAATAATGAATTACCCCTTTGTTTTTGGTGGGAGGAGAAGAGAGGGGAGAGTAGAACCCCTATACTTATGTTGTGGTCAGCTACACTTAATGTTTTATCTAATAAATAAAAAATAAAATTTAATATATTTATCCATTATCTACCGCGGATAGCGGGAATCGCCACGCCTTCTCCATGGAAAAGATAAATTTTACCATTCGACCATATATGCATTATATATAATTTATTTAGTATTTATAATATTTTATAAATTCTATATACAATCCATGTTTAATAAATAATACATATTTACATCTATTTATTTTAATTTAATATTTTTTATTTATATATATTTCTAATTTTTCTAATTTTTTTTCTTTATTTGAATTTTTGGGACTTATATTGAATTTTAATGTGTCTCACAACCTGAAGGAATTGGGAGGGGGTCATTTCATTTTTGGATATAGAACAAATAGGTTCAAGAGATGAGAGAAATAAGGATACCCACCAGAAAGACTAATCCAATCCACAATGATGTGCCGGAAAATAGAACATTTTTGTTACCTGACCAACCCTTAGGAGAAGCAAATACAACAGGTACACTAATCAGTAAGATTAATGAAGTAGCAATTAATGCAAAACAGCCAATTAGAAAGCAATAGTCATGTTTCTAATCCTCCAATCTACCAACAAAAGAACTATATTATTTGATCCCGATTTTCAAGACCGGAGCTATCAACCACTCGGCCATCTCTTTGAAAGATAATTTCTATTTTATTTTTGTCCCATATTTTATTTTTATTCCACCCCATAGAACACGAACATATGAGTTAAGACCATTACTATCTACAGAAAGATATCGGGTGTGAATCTATAGGTCTATCTATTCTGTATATATATATATAATATAGATGCATGATCTAGCAAGCATGCCCATTTGTAAAATTTGTAAAGTAAAAAAAAAAAAAAAAAGGATTCACTGGTAAAAGGATTTGCAGTCATAATTTATAGCTCAAATATTGTTATTCATGATATTGATCCGATTTGATATCATCGAGATGTAATGCATCCCATTGAATTTATAGGCGAAAGATTTATTATCTCTATGGGATTAACTCCCGAGTTATTGCGAATTAAAGAAAAATTAAACAATGAGATTATGGAAGTAAATATTCTTGCATTTATTGCTATTGCACTGTTTATTCTAGTTCCTACTGCTTTTTTACTTATAATGACACACCCCGACCGAGATCAGGGCATGCTGGCCGTCACGTGGAAGTGACGTAGCCATGTGCACAGTGCGGAAGCTAAAAACAGTAATGTAAAAGTACGAATAATTTAAAAACTAGCATACAATAAGTGACAATATGAGTGCTAGCGTAAGTGAAACGCTGAATTCAGAGCATAAAGACTATAGCAGTCCAAAGAAAATGATACGACAAAGTCCACCCGAAGGTGACCTTACACTGGTGAGTATCTGTCAGAAAAGCCGGGACGCCCTCTGGGAAAACCACCGAAACCGCTAAGCTACTAGAACCTGGAGGGGCGCAAAACAAAAGCGTGAGTGGGCAAAAACAAAGCTCTTTGAAAACCATTTCATAAAATACATTCTAACCCCTCACCGTAAAACCTGTATACTTCCCAGAAATAAACATATATATGTATATATAAATATGCCAATCATGCTCAAGGGTATGCCATCTTAAAGCCTCATAAAGATATGCAAGTGCTCAGGTATAAATCACATCAATAGCATAACATCTGGCAGCCGGAGTCACCTAAAGTGACCTGTACGGCTGAATCTAGAGCTCAAATCTCAATCTCAACAACTAAACCTGCCCACGAGTCGGAACCACCTAAAGTGGTCTGTACGACAGGCCTGGGTGTAATACATATAAACGCTCTAGTGCTACGATCACGTGAAGGCTGTGCGAATAATCGCGGGTCACCTACGAGTCGGAACCACCTATAGTGGTCTGTACGACAGGACTGTGCACCTAACTTGGATTCCAAGTTGAGCGTATGGTGCGGGAGGTGAACGACACGTGAAGGACTGTGCCCTACTCTGGGCGGGAGCACTAACACCTGGGTGCAGGTTATGAGCTCTCTAGGCACCTCTAATCACTATTTAATGTAAATGTTAATCAACGCTTACCTGGCACTTACCTAGGCCTCCGCAGCACCAAATATAAATATGTATATGTATGCCACTACTAATGCATATGAAAATGCATAAACAATAAGATATGGTGCATGGCATAAAGCAAATAACCCTTCTTAATTAATTTCTGGGAATATAAATGTATATAGGTATAAACGGAAAACCAAAAGCCCACTCACTGGTATGTGGAAGGGTCGTAGCCCCCCTGCCTCGAATGTGCACGCTCGTCCTCGGGATACGTGTCACCTATATGCGAATTAACTATAAAAACGTTAACTTTAAAGCACATAACCTTCCGTTCAAAATAACTTCTCATACATTGCTCAAAATGGACAAATGAATATACCAACGTGATCTACACAACCTCACGATCACACCCATATTTTTAAAATAATTTTTGGACTTCCCACGCGCCCTCACGCGCCAAAACAGGCACGGACGCGCGGCCACGTGCCATGCACACTGACGGTGTCCAGTGACGCCGTCAGGAATATTCCGTTAAACTAACGGAATATTCCGTTAAACCTAACCGGATTCCGTCACTACCGTTAGGAATATTTCGTTAAACTCAACGGAATATTCCTGTTTCTTCTCCGGCCTACCCTCGCCGGACTCCGGTCACCGAAAAACCGAGGAAACTTCAAACTCACTATTCTCCTTCGTTTTTCAACCAAATTTCAAGATTCTTGAACCAAAATGACGCTTAGACCTAGGAGAATCACGATAGACTAGTTTTAAGGGCTAAAAACTACGCGATCATACCTGTCCACGAAATCAAAAACCGGCCAACTTCGTACAGGACGATCCCGACGTCCAAATTTGTCCAACGAAGCACTCCTAAGCTTCTTGGGACCTCACAAAGACATCTACGAGCCTAAAAAGTCCAAAAACAAGCTAGATTAAATTTGCATGAATAGTAACCAAAACTGAGCTCGTGAAATCGACGTGAAAACGTCGGAGTTCCTACCTGAAAATGGTACCACTGGACTCCTCTCAGCCTCACGAGTTCAATGGTGTAGTTGGTTCCCTCGATCTGTGCTGGTTTGGGTGAGTTTGGTGTTTGTCCGTACGTTTATGGTGATAGGAAGGGAGAGAGAGACACGGGAGAGAGAGAGAGAGAGAGAGAGAGAGAGAGTGACAGAAGGTGGTGCAGGTATGAGAGTGTGTGTGTGGCCTAAAGACATGCCAACACAACACAAAAACAACCAAATTACGTATCGAAAACAAACTAGGGGCAAAACGGTCTTTTCACACGTACGTTTCCGATAATTCCGGGACGGGATGTCACATATAATATACGTAAAAACAGTCAGCCAAGGTGATTAATTTGAATTAAACTTGATTTTTTATTTCTTATCAATAATTGCAGAGAAGAAAAGGATAAAAATTTCGCGTCTTAACTGAAATGGGCAGACTAGAATCAGTCGTATTCTATGAGATACGATAGTATGGTAGAAAGATTCAGATATTTCTTTCTACCATACTATCTAGTATTGTTATTGTAGTGTATAAAGTTGTATTGTAATGCGGGTTAATTTAATATAGATTAATATAGATCAATCTACAATAGTATCATCATATTCCTTTTCTATATATATAGAAATCGATTTAATTACGTATATATAATATATATAGTGATAATGTATATTATATAGTATCCCAATTCTATTTCTTTGCTTTATCTATTTGTATTTAATTTGTGTTGATTTCAATTAAATTAATTTGAAATAATCGAAAGCGACTTTTACGATTAGAATTCCTAGATTTCTGATTATTTTCAATATGAATCCCGATCGAAGAAGTCATTGATTGAGGAGTTGACAAATGATCCATGGGAACTTCTTCAGATTTTGAAAAAATGGGATCACTTCTTATGGACTTGTTAAGAATGATTCTAATCTAGTTCATGGCCTATTGAAGCAGAAGGCACTTTGGTGGGATCCTCACGGACAGAAAAAGATTGTAGTCAGTTTGATAATGATTGAGTGACATTGCTTCTTTGGCCCGAACCAAGGAATCCCTTAGATATGATGCAAAATGGATCTTGTTCTATCGTTGATAAGAGATTTCTCTATGAACAATACGAATCGGAGTTTGAAGAAGGGGAAGAAGTCCTTAACCTGCAACGGATAGAGGAGGATTTATTCAATCATATAGTTTGGGCTTTTAGAATATGACGCCCTTGGGGTTTTCTATTTGATTGTACCGAAAGGCCCAATGAATTAGGATTTTCCTATTGGGTCAGGTCATTTCAGGGCAAGCGGATCATTTATGATGAAGAGGATGTGCTTCAAGAGAATGATTCGAAGTTCTTGCAAAGTAAAACCATGCAGTACTAGACATGAGATAGATCTTCTAAAGAACAAGACTTTTTTCGAATAAGCCAATTTATTTGGGACCCTACGGATCCACTCTTTTTCTATTCAAAGATCAGCATGTGTTTTCACATAAAGAATTCTTTCCAGATGAAGAGATGTCAAAGGGACTTTTTACTTCCCAAACGGATCTTCCTACATCTATATATAAATGTTGGTTTATCAAGAATACACAAGAAAGGTATTTCGAATTGTTAATTCATCGCTAGAGATGGCTTAGAACCAATAGTTCATCATCTAATGGATTTTTTCGTTCTAATATTCCATCCGAGAGTTATCAGTATTTATCAAAGTTGTTCCTATCTAACGGAACGCTATTGGATCAAATGTCAAAGACATTGTTGAGAAAAAGATGGTTTTTCTCGGATGAAATGAAAATTGGATTCATGTAACAAGAGAAAGGTTTCCCATTCCTTAGCCAGAGAAGGGTAAGGTAAATTTTTAGATATTGTGTGTTTTAAGGGTTTGTGGTGTCGTCCGTACGAAAGAATAAGAAAGGGAGAGAGAGGGCTCGGGACAGATAGGGAGAATAGGGGAGAGGGATGAGGATGGTGATGGATGTGTGGCTGGGATACAACCAACCAAAAACCCAAAACAACCACACAAACAACAATTATCCATTAGGGGCAAAACCGTCATTTCACCCCTACGGTACAAAAAATCCGGGACGGGCAGTCACAATTTGAACCTATACCAAAGGTTAGAAGACCTCTGTCTTATACATTAGACAATGGACGCTTTCATTCCAATTTTCCTATATCTTGTTCAGAAAAATAGTTGAACCAATTTTCAAGTCAATGATGCATTACATTAATTATATTCATAATTTTTTTTATAAAATATTCAAAATCTCAAAATATTTAATTCTTTATTTATTTATTTAATAAAAAAAATAAAGTAAAAGCGGGTAGTGGGAATCGAACCCGCATCGCTAGCTTGGAAGGCTAGGGGTTATAGTCGATGTTGATTCATCATTTTTAGCGTCTCTAATTCAAAATTGAACGTGAAACTTTGGTTTCATTTGGCTCCTTTATGGAAGATATATAAATTCCTATATTAAGACATGAACGAAAAAAAAAATCCCACCCATAGCATCTATGTCAGCTTTTCTGTCTGAATGTATTCAGAACAACCCGTTTTCTAGACGATCCCTATAGAAAAGAGGGGGATTATATTATAACAACCTTTCTAGTTACTTTGTTCTCCATTTCTATATGAGAGAATCCTTAGAGCAATCCACCCCTAAAAATGCGCTGACACCTAACCCATTTAATCTACTCAAATGAATAGTGATTGACCCCAATGAACAGTAATTGGCCAAATACATCTCCACCCCTAAAAAATGCGCTGGCACAAATGCATCTTCATCCCTAAAAAATGCACTGGCACCTAGCTCATTTAATCCACTCAAATGAATAGTGATTGACCCCAATGAACAGTAATTGGCCAAATACATCTCCATTCCTAAAATATGCGCTGGCACAAATGCATCTTCATCCCTAAAAAATGTGCCTAGCACACAATCCATTTAAAATATTATTAATTTTTTTATAAAATAAAAAAAAATTACATAAAGTACTACAAATAAATAAGAAATTACATAAAGTACTAAAAATAAATAAGAAATTACATAAAGCATTAAAAATAAATAAGAAATTACATAACGTACTAGAAATAAATAAGAAATTATACGAAGTCTAAGGAGTTAGGATATGTGGTGCTAGGATTTGTGTAGCTAGAACCCCCTCAACTTGTTTCCTAATCTCTTGCACACCTCTTTCGCACCATGTCTCTTTTTTCCGATGTCCAAAAATATTTAGAATTCGGAGACATTCCTACTAGAGACTTGTTCATAGTGTCACGATCTGCTTGAGCCATCCTTTCTTCTATAAGCATTAGGCTTTCTCGATTAAGTATTTCTCTTTGTTTCTCATTAGCCGCATCACGTCTCTCAGTAGCGTCTAAGATTGCTTGCATAGTCGCAACTTTTGCCTCATCTCTAGCCGCTTCTCGTGCCATGTTCAGTTCACCTTGGCGAGCAAGTTCGTCCATATATTTTGTGTAGTTATTCTTGGAAAAACTCCATTTTTTCTTTGCCGCCTTTTTACCTTGAGGCCTTAGGGATCGAAGAGTCGGCTCTAGCACTTCTTCAGGCGTCCCTTCCCACTCTTTAAATGTCTCGCCTTCCTGTTCGACTGAGTGTGCTTTTAACGAACTGTATACAAGGATGCCGTGCATGACAACTTCTAGACTAGTTTGCACAAGTTTGTATATGGGACAATCTTTAAACAATTTTTAATAATTTTTTTTTAATTTTTATTAAGTTAATTAATCTGGACCGTTGAATTTGAAAAAGATTCATATCCAACAACCTAGATGTGGACACATGGCCAACGGTCATAATTCTGATAGTTTTGTCTTGTTTTTTTTTTTTCACATTTTTTGGGCGAAAATTGTGGACCGTTGATCTTGGGATTGGACGGCCCAGAATGCAAGTAGTATTGAGGTCTATACATTTTGCGTAAAAATTATACTGGAAAAAGGGGAAATGCCGGTGGTTTTGAGGTCTATAAATGTAGGAGGGAGGAACAAACCGTAGTCATACGAGATGAGAAGCTCGCCAAGCATGGTAAAAACAGATCGGAAAGGACCAAAGTGAGAACACTACCTTGCGTGTTGAACGATGGATGTGAATACAAATTAGGTTCAACGTAACTTCCACATACATTAGGGTATGCTATTGATGTATGAATTCATGAACCTTTGCTGGAGAGAGTACGCAGACAATGCGATAACATAAATTGATAAGCAGATAACTAGCATATCATAATAGGGGCAACCCAATAAGAGCGTTCTGTGAGCGAAAAGTCGATTCACAGTAGAAAGGCATGCCACAAACACAGTAATTACAAATTGCCACTCCGAAAGAAGCATAGCAACGACACAACACGCAAAGAAATCACCACGCTGGGTCAACAACACGGACATGACCAGAGTAGCAGATTGTTCCAAGTTTTCTCAAACACTCATCAACAAAACTGTCTCGAGTGACTTATTTATGTGCACAACGGAGGTTGTGATATTCGCAACATATATATGTTTTTACTTACGAGGCTTCAGCAACCGGGTAATGCATGTTAGCGAGCGAATTTTTCAAGATGGAGCTCCCACAATAAGAAGGCCGGTCTGGGCTGCCTAACACAAGCTCACCAAAACCATTGTTTGTGTCAACCAATGTTTCACGGGGATCCATTGATCTGTAACACCTCCCAGAAGACCCAGATTTGCGATATTGCTTCTTATCTTTTCCTCGTGAAGAACTGCTCTTTTGCCCCTTCTTTCCATCTTTCTTCCAATTTTTCTTGTTCTTTGACTTCTGCTGTTTCTTGCCAGTCACTGTATGCGACATTGATGTAGCAGGCGGATCATACACATCAGGGGCCCATTTGACAGAAAGTTTCCCAGGTGATAATCCCTCTTTTGCCCGGCTACCTTTTAGGGCAGAAAGTAGCTTCGAAGGAGACTGCACAAGGCATTAAGAACAATAAGAACCTATGTTATGAGAACTACACAAAACTAGACCATCACAACATTTCTTTTCAAGTGGCTAGTTCAATCCATCCAAAACTAAAGACATAAACATAATTATACTAAATTATAATTCCGTATTTTCTGGAGAACTTAATAGCGGAGATGCACAGAAAATAGTATGTAGCTTCTACACATTGCATGATATGCTAGAGACCAACTATCCGGCAAGAAGGACAAGGCATAATGAACAGGATGAAAAGGCCAAAAAACAAATGAACATTTTCTATAACACCAAGAAACAAACACATTCTGCCTCCACCACTTTAAGTGAAGCGAAGAGGGGGAGGACGGGATGCAATCATACCAACTCACATGCACCGGATCACATCAGGACTCCGAAGTTAAGCGATTTGACAAAAAAGAAAAGAAAAAAGAAAAGAAAAGAGAGGACAACCCGAAACTCTAAACCATCTGCAAGCATGCACCACTTTGTGTGATGTGCAGTATATCAAGCTAGGCATAGTCCAATATAGGGTTATTCACTCATTACAATAACAACAGGTTCCTTAAGTATATCAACTGAAAACAAAAGTGGTAATGATTAATGGGATGTCCAAGAGAGAGAACATAGTATGAGAGGGAAATGGTGCACAACTCTGTTCCAGTAAGCATATAAATAACTTACAGGCAAAGACACCGAGCGCGAGTAGGCATGGTGATGATTTTCATCCCCGCATAGCACTTCTTCTGGTTCCTCCTTTACTATGCTTGAGGCATTAGGAGAGAGCACACCAGTAGGAATAGGAAAGGTTGCACACTTGTTCAAGCATTTTTGAGTGACGTTTCCCTGTTGTGCATTAGGAACTTCATATGTGTTTCTTTTTTCCACACCACTAGTATTATCCCCATCAGGAGCATGTTCCACTACTCCGACACCTTTGACATCAATCGACTCTTTTCCAACATCTTTGGCATCAATCGACACTTTTCCAACATCTTTGGCATCAATGGGCACTTCTCCAACATCTTTGGAATCAATGGACAATTCTCCAATATCTTTGGACTCTTCTCCAACACCTTTGGCATCAATCGACTCTTCTCCAACACCTTTGGCATCAATCAACACTTTTCCAACATCTTTGGCATCAATGGACACTTCTCCAACATCTTTGGAATCAATGGACAATTCTCCAACATCTTTGGACTCTTCTCCAACACCTTTGGCCGCATCAATCGACTCTTCTCCAACACCTTTGGCCGCATCAATCGACTCTTCTCCAACACCTTTGGCATCAATCGACTCTTTTCCAACATCTTTGGAATCAAAAGACTCTTCACTAACATCTTTAACATCAATCGACTCTTCTCCAATACCTCTGATATTCAAGGACTCACCAACAGCACTTACAAGGTCGCTTACTAAATAATCTTCAAGCAAAGTACGAATTTGCTCTTGGTTCGCAGAAGGCTGCAAACCTTGCAAACGGTCTACATTTAGCAACACCGATTTCCCACTAGGAGAGCTTATGTCCATCTACAATAACAAATTCTACACAATGCCAAAATCCACATGTTAACAACATCAAACATCAAACATCATTGAAGAAATCAAATCAACACAGTTAACCGGATAAATCAAATCAACAGAGTTAACCAAATCATTGAGCTATAAAAATAACTACATATCCATCATATAATCGAAATATCCAGCTGCCTCATTATCTGAACCTAAATATAAACAAAAACAATGAACACCAAGCTAAATTCATAAAATTAATTACCTCGAATAAAGTTAGCAGAAAGAACAACCTTCGCACCAAGATCTAACAAAACGATTCCAAACTTTTTAAAGCCTTAACGAGGATTTCTTCGATCCTTAAAACCTCAGATTTCTCGAAGAAATCTCGACGAGAACTCTCTAAACTTCGCTACAGACTGGGAAGCTGAGCAAGAACCACAAGATAAACGAACCCAAGTGAGATTTAGACCTAATGTTAACTAAGATTACCGCGCCGATCACCTTTTTCGAGATGTTTCAGACGATGAGAGCAAGAGCCGCCGTGGAAGGAAGTCAAGTTAGGGACCGAGGGTCGTAGGAGGAGGCGAGCGGGCACCGAAGGCATTATCGTATGCTCTTCGAAACCCCTAAACCTGAACGTTGCAGCAAAACCCGCTCCAGATCGTGAACCAGAGCTACGAAATCTGAGAAACCCGGCTTCTAGGTAGTCGTGAAATCTCGTGAAATCGGGGGATATAGCGGCTTTCAGGGGATTTAGCAGCGGAGCATGGCGGAGGAAGGAGGAATGGATGGATTTGGTGGTTGGTCAAAGCCAAAGAGAGCTTCAGATATCGCAGAAATGGAGATCAGAGCGGATGGGATTTGGGGGTTTTCCTTATTTGTATATAAGGAGGAGAAGAAGACGGGTATGTAATGGGTCAATGGGTCCACGCCCGTCTGCCGGGTTCGCAGATTATATCGGAGACGTACACGTGTTTATCGGGGATTGCCGCTGGGTCGCGGGAGATTTTTAGTTAGGTTGGGCCGGGTCAACTAACATTTTCCTTTTTCTTTTATCTTTTTTTTCCTTCAAGAAAAGGGCCCTTTCGGTATATTTATTTTACTATTTGTAATTTAAGGGACAATGTTTGTTTGTTTATTATTATTATTATTATTTTTTTAACAAATGATATTATTTATAATAGAAGATGGGGAAGTGGGTTAAGTATCACAATGAGTTAGTAATAATGCTATTCAAATTCATTTTAACGAGAATCAAAAATAAGATACAATGCTCACGTAGGGCTAGTTTCAAAAATAAGAAAGGAACAAAAAAAAAAAAAACCAATATCTGACTGAAAATCATTAATTTTTATAATTAGTTCCATTTTTTATTCAGTTTAGTAAATCGAAATGATGAACCTTGTGGAGATTTCTCAGCATTTGGAACTAGACCTAACAAAGAAGTTGTGTTTGTCGTGTTTGTGTGGTTTTGTGTCAAGTTAGTTATTATAGTGGGCCATGTCGTGGCTACTAAATTATCTTAATGAGTTTAAGAATTCAAACTTCAACCTGACCTGTTAAAAACGATATATACTTTAATAAAAGGTCAAATAAAAAAAAAATTCAACAATAGGACTACAATTTCGTTAAGCACTACAAGCTTAGACCTCCGTGCCATGTAAATATTACTTCAAAACACATAACGTTACGCGATAAATACAAAACAAGTATACTATGTTAAATATGAACGAGTAGAGTACGTGAAATATACATGAGTACATGTATAATACACATATTACACGTGAAACTATGCCTATCATATAGTTAGGGTTTTTAGTTTAACGGATTACCTGCTTGTAGATCTGAATCAAAACGTTATGTAACCAATTAACCCGATAACACACCGGATCGATTAAGCCTTGACTCGAACTTCGTTATTTTTGTATCATTTCATATTGGATTAGCGGGTCGTGCGTGAAATGCCAGGTCTAGTTGGAACTTCTAATCTAATTGAGAGATGTGAAGTGAGTCACCGTTAAAGAGAAGGTGAGTGAAGTCGAGACAACAAGAGCTTATCCACTACATAAAACTTCCAAATTTAATACATTGAAGCAAATCCAGGTGGTAAATCAAACAAAGTTTATCAGAAATTCACGTATTGAAGAAATCCAAATGCAACGATGGTGGTCGATCGAAGAGTGATGGTGGTTGGCCGCTGTTTAGAACGAGACGGAGAGAGACGAGCAACAGAGTGATGATGGGGGCAGGTTCTGGTGGTCTGGGTTTGAGAGATTGAGAAGAGGAAAGAGACTCTTCTCTTCGCTTTTCTATTCAAAACAATGGTGGGAATTTAATCTTAACCAATGTAATGGCTAGGATTATTTATAATGATATGTATTATATAATAAAAGTTTGAAAAAAATTATAATCAATTCGGTTTGGTATTACTGAAAATACGGCGATGACCCTAATTCTGTACTAAATTATCAAGATTCTTCAATATCATGTTACCAAAAAATTTGGGATTTTGGGCCAGGTTTGGATTTCTTGGGTTGGCTTCAAGAGTTTCGGTATTTTCTTCCAGACCTACTTAAAAGGACGTTTTTTGCTATTTGTAATTTAAGGGACAATGTTTTTTTTTTTTTTTAAACAAACAATATTATTTATAATAGGAGATGGGGGAGTGGGAAGTGGGTTAAGCATCACAATGAGTTAGCAATAATGTTATTCAAATTCATATTTGACGAGAATCGAAAATAAGATACAATGCTCAAGTAGGGCTAGTTTCGAAAATAAGAAAGGTAGGGGGACAAAGGTAGGGGTACAAAGGGTCTCCTTGCCGTAGGCCTCTCGACGGGTGAAGGTACCCTTTTGGCACCCCGTTGATCAAGAAGGCATACGGGACGGTCGAGGCACAAGTCATAATCAAGTCCACCCACCTGCGACAAAAGCCGAGACGAAGAATTACATTTTCCAGGTAGCCCCATTCGATGTGATCGTAGACCATGCTCATATCGAGCTTCAAAGATAGGAATCCATTTTTTCCCCTGCACCTCCTGAACAAAAAATGGGATAGCTCTGTGGCAAGCATAATGTTGTCCGAGATCTGACGTCCCGAGACGAATGCATTTTGGTGCTGGGAAACTATATGTTGGAGCAATGATTTCAATCGGTTTGCAATAGACTTGAAGGCTATTTTGAACAAAACGTTGCAGAGGCTGATAGGACGAAGCTGGGACATGTATTTTGAAGTTTTAACCTTTGGGATGAGAGTGATGTAGGTATAATTCACTTTCTTCAGGAGATTATCAGAGTTAAGAAATGAGAGAAGAGCTACCGTTACATCTTTACCAAAAATACCCTATAATTTTTGGAAAAATAGAGAAGGGAGCCCATCGGGCCTAGGGAAGGTGGAGGGCTGCATCTGGAACATTGCCATTTTGATTTCGTCTACATCAAAGTGTCACCTCAGGGAAGAATTCAATTCATCTGTCACACGCTTGTTAATGGCATCCAGAATTTCTTCATTCGGGAACGGGTGGTCTGACAAGATGATAGTCGAAAAGTAGTCGGTGATTACCCGTTTAATGCCTGCATCGTTGTTGTGCCAAGCTCTGTTGTTATGTCTCAAACCTGCAATTCGATTTTTTCCTCAGCAAACGGACGCCCTTCGGTGGAAGAACTTAGTATTACGGTCCCTATATCTCATCCAAAATGTTTTGGATCTTTGTCTCCAGTAGGTCTCCTCTTGGGCCAAAATGGTGGGCTAGAGCCTGCCTTTAGAGGATGAGTTTATTATTTCAGCAAAAGAATTTCTAATATTCCTATAACAGCCAATTCCCCAAATTTGTTTCCAATCTCCTTTGATTAGCAGCCAAATGTATTCAAGTATATGCTTTACGATTTAGGTAGATAGTGGTGTTAATTATGATGAAGTTATTTGGTTAGGTTTTGGAACTGGCTGGAAATGCTGCAAGAGACAACAATAAGAATGGCATTATCCCAAGGCGTGTGCCTATTGGCCATGAGGAACGATGAAGAACTTGGAAAGCTCTGACCATTGCTCATGCTGCTGTGCTTCCCAACATCAACCCTATGTTTCTACCAAAGAAGCCCGAAAGGGTAAGGAACCCAAGTCGCCCGTCAAGCTGCCACCAAGTCCCTTAAGAAGGCATAACGTATCGAATTAGTAGTGTGTTTGGTAGCAGTGCAATGTGAAGAAAGTTGAGGTTCCACCCTAAAATCAATTGGCAGGAAGTATCCCAACTATTTATAAGCACATGCAAGATCCATCATCTCATTGATGTAGGATTCGCTTTCAACACAATGCACTTATGTATGGAATTTCCATGTTTGTACTTGGTTAGTAGGATGCCTTCATGTGTCGTTAAGACCTTTGTACTCTGTTTTGATATCCATTTTGAAGGTCCATGTTTCATATGAAATGAAAATTTTCCAACTTCTAAATTTTGCTTTTTGCAATGCAGTTGGAGATAATTTATACAAGTGGAGTGGTTTCTACAAACTCTCACTTTCTACGCACCCCTCTTCATCGTGGCTCTTGATTTTCCTTTGGTTTGTTCAATCCAAATGGTTAGGGAAAAAATAAACAGGTGCACTAGACATAAAAAAAAGTGTGCATAAATCGTTTCCTTTGTATAACTATTGCTTGATTTGGTGTTTTCTTCCACTTATATCTTTTAACTTTGAGAACATCTATTGCATGATTCTCAAGTTGGAAAATTCTAGTATGCAACGATATATGTTATACATTAGTTGTTTTATCCACCCGCCAAGTCGGGTTCATCTTTCCCTCCTAGAGTATAGAATGACACTTGTCATTGAATGCATGTGCCATATACTATTGTACAGTAGAAAAACTGCTAGGGTGGTTGTTTTTTTTTGAAATCTCTCATGATAGGATGGTGAGTTTGCGTTAAGCAATTTAGAAAGCGTTTGTTATATAAGTTTATCAAACAGCTGGAATAGCTCAGTTGGTTAGAGCGTGTGGCTGTTAACCACAAGGTCGGAGGTTCGAACCCTCCTTCTAGCGTCCTTTTTTGTATTTTACATAGGCAACATAAGTTTGAAGGTGCTGCTTCACGAAATGCTCTCAAATCACTTGAATTTTTAATAAAAATCTGAACTTGTTTTAATTAGAAGCGGTTCTAGCAAAAACGTTTACGAGAAAAATAAATACTTAATAGAGGAGTCTCAAATAGGCTATGAATTGTAGCAATTCAACTTAATTACCTTCTTTGATATTCACATGGGCTATGAAAGCCTCCTCCTCATCATGTGAAAATTAATGTGGATGGATCATGGAGCTACTTACTGCTAATTGTGAATGGGGTCTTATGTTATTCCATGGATGCCAAACAAGTGATTTCAGACTTGTTAATTAAGAGATGAAGATAAATTGAGCATGCGGCAGAAGCTACTCTTGTTTTATTTACTTTGCTTATGTTATATATTTGCCGTGATTGTAATTGAGTAGCTCATCTTTTAGCTAAGAATGCTTGTTTGCATTGTGAATTTCATGTTCGGGTGGAGGAAGGGCCTCCATTTCTATTTGAATTTTACCCTCTCATGTACAAAGAATAGTCAAGTTAATTCCCTATAGATACATGAAAATAAAAAAGAAAAAACCTAATTACCTCTTGTGTAACATCCCACATCGCCCAAGGGAGTGATCCTTAAATATATATTTCCATTTCTACTTAGCACGAGGCCTTTTGGGAGCTTACTGGCTTCGGGTTACGTAGGAACTCCGAAGTTAAGCGAGAAGGGGGCTAGAGCAATCCCATAATGGGTGACCCACTGGGAAGTTGCTCGTGAGTTCCCAAAAACAAAACCGTGAGGGAATGGTAAGCCCAAAGCGGACAATATCGTGCTACGGTGGTGGAGCGGGCCCGGGAAGTGATCCTCCCCGGGTCGGGATGTGACAATTTGGTATCAGAGCCTAACCCTGGTCACGTGTGTGCCGACGAGGACCTCGGGCCCCTAAGGGGGGTGGATTGTAACATCCCACATCGCCCAAGGGAGTGATCCTTAAATATATATTCCCATCTCTACTTAGCACGAGGCCTTTTGAGAGCTTACTGGCTTCGGGTTTCGTAGGAACTTCGAAATTAAGCGAGAAGGGGGCTAGAGCAATCCCATGATGGGTGACCCACTGGAAAGTTGCTCGTGAGTTTCCAAAAACAAAACCGTGAGGGAATGGTAAGCCCAAAGCGGACAATATCGTGCTACGGTGGTGGAGCGGGCCCGGGAAGTGATCCGCCCCGGATCGGGATGTGACATCTTGATACTACATTCTTGTACCAAGAGGAAGAATGGAATCGTAATTATTTTTCTGTTTTCTTTACAATGTTGTCTTATGATTTCGAAGAGTACATAACTACTATTTCATAGCATTAATAACTCTTGCATTCGTCTTTGATTTATCCTCCATTCCTTGTTCCTGTGTCCCATCATCAGAAATTTCAGAAATTTCCGGTTAAAATTTTCAATCTACAAACCATCATAAAAATTGCAATTTATTAGAGATTTCAATCCAAAAACGACGCGAATTGCCCACTATTTCATAACATCTGAACATATTTTTCGTGGAAAAATCCTAATAAAAAACCGATTACATAAAAACAACTGCATGCATTATATTATTCACGTCAAAAATAATATTAACACAAAAAAAGACGTTCTCAAACAGAGCCTATTACAAAAATTAAAAAGAAAATCAACAACTAGTAAATTTAGTAACGGCCTTGGTGCCCTCAGACACGGCGTGTTTGGCAAGCTCGCCGGGCAACACCAACCTGACGGCGGTCTGGATCTCCCTCGACGTGATCGTTGGCTTTTTATTATACCTGGCCAAACGTGACGCCTCCTGAGCGAGCTTCTCGAAAATGTCGTTGATGAAGCTGTTCATGATCCCCATGGCCTTGCTGGAGATCCCGATGTCCGGGTGGACCTGCTTCAGCACCTTGAAGATGTATATCTTGTACGTCTCCGTCGATTTCTTCACCTTCTTCTTCTTCTTCATCTCCAAGCCGCCTTCCTTCGGGATCTTCTTCTCCGCCTTCGTCGGCATCTTCTCCCCAGCCGGTGCCTTCTCCGCCACCGGCTTCTTCTCGGCCTTCGTTGGCGCCATTTCAGGGTGGTTTTTTGTTGAATCGGAAAGGATGCGATGAAGGGAAGTTGGAACGGATTTTTGCGGGGAGAGGGAGTGAATTCAGGTATTCTGGTGGAGGGGAGGAGAGCGCGGTTGGTTTAAATAGTGACCGGTAGTTGGTTCTGATTGGTGGATGGGTTGCATGAGGATCGGTGACGTAGATGATTGGGTGTCCGTTGGATTGATTTGGAAGCGTGGTGGCAGTTGGATTTATTGGAGTCGTGGTCAGACTGATCCGATAGCGAAATACGAGGTTGATTTGGCTACCGTCTCGAATTTGGACCGCACGATTTGTTGGAAGGAATATTGACTTGGCTGTTTACTCCACCGTAGGATTTATGATTTTTTTTTTTTTTTTTTGCAACGATTTTATGACTTGTGACTTTCCATTTTCAGGGAGTTCATGTGAAATCATTCAAAATTTTAGGGAGATACTTGATTTGCTAAAGTCTAAAATACACTATAAGATCACTTTCAATTCATAAAAATTCTTAGTTTTTTAAATGGGTAATATTAGATAGATCAAATTTTTAGACCAAATTTTGTAAACAACATGATATGATTGTTAATTATTAAATTATTACTTAAGTGTTGATTAGCATGCTTATTTCTATTAGTGACACACCATTTTATTTGTAAATTTAGTTTAAAATTTTTGTCTACCTAGTGTTGGCCTTTTCAAATACTTTAAAATCAAATCCTACAAAGTACACACGAAGTTTTATGAATTACTTTAAAATCTTGATTAAATACGTCCAGATTTAATTTTGTAAATTTTCATAAACTCTTTTAATCTTGATTGAGTGCTCTTAAATTTGTAGACTTTCATGGATTCGTTTAAAAAATTTATTGAATACCTTAAATTTAAACACTTTTTTTTATATAATTTACACTAATGGGTAAAAGAATAAATTGATTGCAAACTCATCATCTACAAGATTTGAAACCAAAACCTCTTAAAAAAGACATTGTAAACTCCTAATTAAATACACCCCTAAACTTTGAACAAGGCCTCTAACTTTTACTCTTGAAATAAGAAAGCTTTAAAAGTTGCAAAACCAAATGACAACAGGCACATTTGATGTCTAGTATTGGCTTGGCAATCAACAAAATTTAATAAATGTTGAATAAAAGTATGGGTGTTAACTTGCATATCTTATCTAAGTGAAGGGTAAAAATGGAGAAGTCATGAAGAAGACTTGTCCCGTTCAATCCTATCATTTTTGAGGAAATTACAATGGATAAAGTTTATTCATAATTTCTCCATCTTCTACCTTCACTTGAACAGAATATACAAGTCGAAATCCATATTTGCATTAAACATTCCTTTTGTTTAGTAAGGACTCGTTTGGATGTGCTTTTAAAATTACTGAAATCACTTTTAGAGAAAATGTTTTTGGGTTCCAAAAACACTTGAAGTGCTTTTTGCAAGAAACACCAGTTATGTGCTTTTTGCAAGAAAGCACTTCAAGTGCTTTTCCAAGATGGGTTTTTTTTTCACAAATGATCCCTGCAATTGACCCTCACCATCAAGATGGTCCCTAAAATTAAAAATCAATCAATGTAGTCCACAAAAATAGGTGTCGCAAATCAATGTAGTCTTTCCTTCACAATTCTGTTAAAAATTCTATTAAGTGCTGATGTGGCATATAAATGGGCCCCACAAAATTTACGGGTTTTTGTCATAAATAGTCCCTAAAATTGACCCACACCATCAAGATGATCCCTAAAATTGAAAATCGATCAATGTAGTTGAAAGTAGATGTCACAAATCAATATGATCATTCCACCATAATTCTGTAAAAAAAAAATTGTTATGTCCTGATGTGAGTTTAATAATTAATTAAAAAGGCTATCTAGCTACCTTTTTGCACAATGAGATTTTTTTTTTTTTTTTTGATAGTAGGGTCTACTTTGAAGAGAGATTCCTTCCATAAATTCTCAAAGGCACAAGGCCTAAGAGGGGGTGTGGAAATAGTTTTCAACCAACAATAGACCCACCTCAGTTATAACCTCATTATCTCAAGGCAAAACTCGTCGTTCTTTGCATCATCAAACCACCAGGGAATCGCCGAACAAACTCTCCAAGATTAACGTTGTGAGAATATTGATCGCCTAAATGTTAACAGTGATGTCTCAGAAGTCGTTGCCAATCGGCCAAGCCGTCACCACAGGTGATCTCAACCCAGGTTCAATTCAGTGAATGGTGTCGAAGTGTGTAAAGATGGGCGTGTTGAGATTTTTTTAGAGAATAGAGAGCAAAGGAAGTAGAGAAATGTGGACTGGGATCAAACGTGATAGGAGGACTGGGTTTTTGGGTTGACAATTTTTTCATTAACTATTAAATTATTAAGCTATTTGTAAATTTTCTTTTTAAATCTAATTAGACTTGTGTGACTCATTTATGTGTCACATCAGCGCATAACATAATTTTTGACAAAATTATGACGGAATGATACATTAATTTAAGACAATTACTTGCGAGACTACATTGATCAATTTCAATTTCATGAACCATTTTAATGTCGCGTGTCAATTTCAAAGACCATTTTTATGTCACTGGTCAATTTCAATGATCATTTGTGAGGAAAAAAAAAAAAAGGACTTATATGGCCCATTTATACGTCACATCAGCACTTAACAGAATTTTTAACAGAATTATGACGGATAGACCGTATTGATTTGCGACACCTATTTTCAAAAACTACATTGATTGATTTTCAATTTCAGGGACCATCTTGATGGTCAGGGTCAATTTCATGAATCATTTGTGATAAAAACCTTCCAAGATTTAATTGCATTTTTACTAAGGATTGCTTCCAAAAACTTTTTTCACCAAAAGTGATTTCAATCATTTTAAAAGCATATCTAAACCAGTCATAAGTTGTCCAAGTCAAGCCATCCTAAACATTATATGTGCCTAGGTCCGTTGGTTTTGATAAACCTAGAATCGGAATACAAGAATTATGAAGAAAACGGCCCAAAATCCCCACAAAATTTGTCATTACTTTGAGGAAGGTCATCAAAATTGCCACCATAATCCAGAATTTGACAATATTTTAATCACCACAATGCAACTTACATTAAACGTATTCACTGCCACGTCCTATAATGCATTGCCCTGCACAGCTACCTGGGCATAGTATGACGGTGAACTTGTTCCATGCAAGTCTTCTCCCTTTATTGTGTATCAAGAATATAACCCTTTCAGAGCCAGAATGACTTGTATGAAACTCAATTGTTCTGTCTTTTCAAATTTGCATAAACCATCTTGTACTAGCCAGCTTACAGGCATAACTAAAATTTACAACCAAGTAATATAAAAGAGTCGATGCACCATTTTAGTGCATTGATAAGCAGCGCTAATCAAAAACTACTTTAACAGAATGATGTCTCACAAGACATTCCTCCTTTTGTACCGTCGTACGTACTGGAAAATCAAACAAAAACAAAAAAATAAAACAGCTTACAACCATGTGAAATGACAAGCAGTCTTGAATTGCCATCCCAAGTACCAAATCAAGGAAAAGTTCGAGGAGGCTCCTTCTTTGACACTAGAAACTTCTTATGCAGCCAAAAGCCTTTCTTTTAGGTAATCCTGCAAGACGAAGGATAATCAGGTTAAACACATAGCTCATTGCGAATGACATAACCGGCAGGATCCTATACACAAAAGCACATACTACCATAACTTTATTTAGGTTTATACATATAGGTATTAGATACTGAAGTTAAAAGTTACAGCACAGCTAGACATGATTCTAGAGTACTATGCAAAATCCCGTCATTTCAAAGCTCTGAACCACAACTTACCATAAACATCAGTGAAACATGAAGATGCAGATAATAGGAGAATACTTAAATAATGCTTGGTGAAGGAATCAGAGAAAGAATTCAGAAAAATCATTCAAAATTTACCAAAAAATATAAACTCAACTTCTATTACTCCTTTTCTTTTCTTTCTTTTCTCTTTTCACATGATTCCATAAAACCCTCAAGTCATAAATCCATTACGGATAAGAGGAAGAAGAAAACAGTATTTAGGGGACGAGCATCCAACTTGAAACAAGATCCTAGTCTCTAGATCCAGAGCACAAATCTATTCCAAGAGAAATTTAATCCTCGTTGTTAAATCAACCTATGCCATATTGGTTCAACAAGCATAAGGGTCCACCAGTCAGGCTGGTAGGATATTGTCAAGACTACAAACATGTGAACAAATTGATGGAAAGAGCAAGTAGCAGCAGCGCCTCTATGTCCTTGTTTGATGTTGGGATTTTATATTGACTTCCAATAAGGTAAAGAATTGATGGTATGAACGGTAGCAGAATCATTCTCTACTTCCTTGTGAGATGCCCGCCTATGTCATAGCCACTAGTAAATGTGTCCTTCCCTATGTACCGACTTTCTAAATACAGTAGGCATAAAATGTTTACCGTAATATTCGAAAGAAGGATTATGTTCACTCCGAACATCAATGTGAGAAGTTAACTAGACTATTAGGGTAAAGAGCAAAAAGTGCAATTTATGCAGCACCGAACTCTCACCAAATATAAGTTCCAACACAAAAGGTCGCGTTATCACATTGCAATATACCATTCATTTCTCAAATCACAACTACTTTGAATACCCAAAGCACTAACAAATGTGAAGGAAGGCAATGCAAGACAAGCACATCAAATGAAAACACACAAGAAAAATAAGGGTGTAATTCATATAAACCTTGTAGAACCCGCATTGATATTCCGATGAAGAATTCGACCCTGACCCGAATCCCCGCCATCAATCAACTCCCTGAGCCCCAAAGTAGTAACTTTCTCTTTATCCTCCTCCTCTTCCTCTTCCTCTTCCTCCTTGGCCTTCTCAACAAGAACACTGCCACCTCCGCTGCCACCACTTCCACGAGCCTTACCAATCAACCTCTCAAAGTAATTCCCATATATATACTCAGGGGTGTACCCGTTCTCTTCATCAAAGAGCATGATGTGCCCATGCCACTCCCAAACCCGATAGTCCGAACCCGATTCCTCATGAAACCCCACGCAAATGTGATGCTCTCCAATGGTGACGGCCTGACCAGAATTGGGCTTGAGGGAATCGGTCTTGCCGCTGAGAATAACCCGGATGATATCCTTCTCGAGGCGGGATTCTTCTTTGGCGAGCTGGGTCTTGTTCTCGTCGTCATCGTCGTCGTCGGCGGTGAGATTGGCAGCGTCGAGGAGGAGATCCTCGAGGGTTTGGGAGAGGAAGGAGTTGTTGGTGGGGGGTCGGATTTGGAGCCTGCCCATTAGGGTTTGGAGCATGAGGTTGTCGAAATTGGTGGTGTTGGTGAAGGAGTTCATGGCGTTTGGATTTGGGTTCGGACTGGTAAAATTAGGGTTTTAGGACCCCTTCGGAAGGAAAGGGGTTTTGGGTTTATGGCTTTAAGCTTGGAAATTGGAATAATTTATTTGTTTTCATTATTCGACCAAGAAAATGACGATTGAAGATGATGGGTTTATGCCACGTGTAGTTTTGATGGCCCACGTGGTACTCGGTGATAAGTACACCGTGGCTGTGACCTGGACGTTTATGACAAAGTCAACCTGTGGGCTGTGACAGTGATGAGAATGGGTGTATTAATTAGGCCCAAGCCTTCAAGTCCAAAAGGTTTTGAGTATCACTGGTTCACGATTTAGGTTCCAAGCCCAAACTTTTATATTCGATTATCATTTTATCATTTCACGTGTTATGATTTAAGTAGACGATAGATTCACAACTTAATATATATAATATTAATATAGAATAAAGTAGTGTTGTTATTTCCACTCAGTTTGCGTTATTTTCCCACAAAAATGAATGACAAAAATAATAACAAGACAAGTGGGTGGACATAAATGCTTTTCAACTAAGTATGTGTTGCAACATATGAATTGATGCTACAACAATCAGTGTGACAATCACACAGAGTTATTTCATTGAATTCTTGCATTTGCACAACATTGTTAGTATGGTGAGAGTAAAGGGTTTTGTACTTTATGGGAAAATGATAAACACGTGCCATTTTTTAGTTTCGCATACACCCATATTTAATCATGATCATTGTTTTCGTCTGATTTATTCAATTCCGATATCCTTGTTTAATCATCTGCCGTAGATTATATATAGCGGGTTAGTCAATCTTGTTATGTTTAGCTTTGTGATGGATTGCACGTTGCATCGGAGACTGGTTCCCCAAAAGCACGTTGGCATCCATCAACGCTAGAAAGTTGTTGTGGCGAAAAGGAAGACATGGTCATATATTACTGGTGTGGTGTGTACTAATTCTAAAGTTTTGACGGTTTATCTGGGATGACATGTTTGTAGGCAGCTTGGATGTATTAGTTGCGGTTGTGTAGCTAGGAAAGGGATGCTCTCCGGATCTGTTCCACTTGAGCCAACTGAGCACAAAATTCGAACCCTTGAAATTTGATCCAACGGTTAAAGTTATTATAACTTTTGATGGGATCCCTTGATTTTAGTTGTTCGATCAAATTTCAAGAGCCTGAATTTTGTGCTAAGTTGGCTCAGGTGGAAGGGATCCGGAGAGGATCCCTTTCCCGGTGGCTTGATACAAGTCATGGATGTGGACAAACTTGATTCCACGTCATATTACAAGTGGGTATTTCATTGCTAATATAATCAAAGTCTTTTGAGATAAAATCTCACACTAGAGTGAATTCATTCGGCATGAGACGCTCTAAGTTGACATCGAGTGGTTAAGTTAGGAACATTGCCACCACTAACATTACATCTAGTGGTATTCCTCACCAATCCGCCTCACTTGCAAATGCAAAGTTTCAAGTTCGACTACCGTAGTTACGACAACCATAGTTAGCAAGTTGGATACTAAATGGTATCACATGAAAGGGTCAATGTTTCTAGTTCGACTACCATAGTTAGCAAGTTGGATACTAAATGGTATCACAAGAAAGGGTCAATGTTGGGACTCAGTCTCAGCAAGTTAAGCTTTACTTTGAACCGATTATTTCCTCGAAATAATCAAATTTATTGGTAACAAATGAAACATTGAAATTAAGCAATTTACAAGGTGAATTGTTCACAAGAATTGCTCCGTTACATCGACACAAAGTAAATAAAACATGTTTCTCCAACAAAACAAAGAGGGCAGCCTCAAGTATCACACACCAAATGAAAAACAATAAAGGCACAAACCAATATATCAAGCCAGACTATTTTCCTTCTCCTTTTTCCTATCATTTTCGTCGATATCATTACTATATAAAAGGTTTAAGACACAATCCCATCTAGAGTCGGAGTATACGGCATACATTGTTAAACAATGTGTGCATTAACACCAAAATATTAGTTATTTTTTCATTACAGAGAAACGAATATATAACGTCCCCTATATAAGAGTAATGATAGCACCAAGTTTCATCACTTGCACGAACAACTACCGCCTGAGGCTCTCCACAATGTAGTCCGCATAAAGGTTCCTATCACGTTGAAACGAAGAGATTGAGAGATGTATAACTAAACAAGGCAAATCAACATTAGACCGAGGATGAGTTATGTTATGCATAAGCAGTCGCTTCAGTTATTTGATGTTTAAATGAACACTGGTTGATGTCAAAAGAGATTTAGACACAGGAATAAGGTTCAAATCAATGTTCTTTAGAAAACCAGAAATGACCAAAACTCTAATGATTCAAAACTTCCCCGACTTATTTTTCATTCCAAGGCATAACTTGTATCCCTATGCTAATTCCTAACATCTACGTCTTTGTATGACTTTCAATAGTTAATTTACAGACAGAGAGGTAATCATATAGTCTGGGCGTGCATGAGTGTGACAGTCAAAGAGCATTGACACTTACATGGAATGCTGGATTGCGTCAAAGGCAGTAGATGCAGGGAGAAAGTCGTCAACTGCAACTTCTTTGTTCTCATTTTTCTTGTAGTCCTCAAAGAAGCGCCGGATTTCAGCCAAACGGTGAGGTGGGAGCTCCTTGATGTCATTGTAGTGTCGGTACTCAGGATCATCAGCACAAACAGCAATGATCTTGTCATCTTTCTCACCCTAGATTAATAAAAAGTTAGAATTTTGTAACAAATTTAAGATGACAACCCTTTATGTCTTCATATATACCTGGTCAATCATAGGCATCAGGCCAATAGCTTTGGCACGAAGAAAGCATCCAGGAACAACTGGCTCCTGTGAGAATTTTCAGTGTCAAAATAGATCAGATTGAGGTTCCACTTACAAACATCAGCTTTAAAATAAACCAAATGGATTTGGAAGCTGTGTAAAGCTACTTACAAATGTAACGCAACATTTTCAAAAATACGATTCCTTACAAATATGGCAAATTAAGCCCAAATTTTTTATATGATTATTATTTAATGAGACATGCATATGATTGATTGTGTCATAGCGAATGATAGGACATGGGTGGTACATGCCCAACAGGCTGATGTCATATTCAGGTTAGCTTGCTATAAACCATGTTTCATTGCTTGATATTCACAAAATAAAGTTCCAAAATGGCTTGCAACAAAAACGAAGCATAAAATACCTGCATAATAATCAAGACATCCAAGGGGTCATTGTCCTCACAAAGAGTACGGGGGATGAAACCATAGTTATGGGGGTAGACAACAGATGAGTACAGTATGCGGTCAACCTGAACGTACAAACACCCTTCAGCAATCATACTTAAATGAATAAAGGTACCAGGAAGATTAGCTTGCCTTAGATATTTACCTTGATGAGTCCAGTTTTTTTGTCAAGCTCATATTTCACTTTGCTTCCTTTTGGAATTTCAATAACCTGGATTATTAGTCATGTTTCCACAAGAACTATGGTCAGGTAGGTTGACATACATATCGCAATACGTAATTAAACACTCTTTCTGAATAAGAGCTATAATTGTCGTGAACATTACAATTATAAATAAAAACTTAGTATTCAGAGAAAATTCTGTTAACAGTAATGTTACAGTGCAAACTATATTCAGGAGCACACTGTTAAATATGACATTTATATAAATGAATGCCACGAGATTCTGAAGTAGGTCGACTCGATTCACATTTAAGAAGACTTCATAAGTTACTTATTCCAATTGTATAGTTGCTTAGTGCAATATATAATGAATATTTATTCAAATTTCAAATTACGCACGGAAAATGAAAACTTTGAGCAAGCACAGAAGAAAGTTAACAACAATTTTCTGGAGCAGATTATTTAAATATGGGAATCACACACGAAGACTGTCTAGATTCTGGATAGTTGGTCAATTCTAAGATAACTTCTTTATGTGTAACTTTTTTCAACTGTGAAGTCATTCGGTGCAATATTTGTCGCTATAAGTTCAACCTAAGTACTGAGAGAATGCAAAATTTGAGCGAACACTGCAGAAGATAAATCATCAAAAAAATTAAAGTATCAATAATTCAATATACATACACAGTTGAAAATCTTAGGAGCTCCAGGTCCTGCATTGAAATCAAAATAAAAGTAAAGTGGTTAGACATAGGCTATAATAACAATTATAGAAAGCTAGCACGATGAACAATGGCTGCTGGAGATATTGCATACCGATTTCAAGGTCATGCCATGGGTGGGCAGCGATAGACCTCCTGGTCATGGATGAAAGTATCCTCTCATTTAGAGGTGGATGTGAGGAATGATCATGATGATAGGTGACATGGGGTTCAATAGCATTTTGTGGAGGCTTAACTTTTTGAACAGTCTCAATCGGTGGAGCCATATCTACAGGACATATACACCACATGAAGTCAGCAAAATCCAAATTACATTGACACTTAACGTATCAAACTTATGATGCTGAGGAGGACCCTCGAAAATGACAACACTTGAAAATCTAAAATAATTAAGACAAATCAAACTCTTTTCCTTCGAACTTCAATGTCGAGATCACATGAAACTAATGCCACATTTTACATTTTAAAGGTTTGAAGCTATCAGATCCAATCATCCAAATTACAACAGGCACTAAGTAAAAGAATTACTTTCTCACACCAAATCGAAAAAAGCCAAATACCTTCTCACACCAATTCGAAAGATACCAATAGCTCCAAAATTTTGTAAAAGCTGTTCTCTCTTCAGTTGGCTAAAATCTAAAAGTTCAAATCCAAAAATAGCCTCTTTTCTCTTCAGTTCCAGAGGCTAAAAAATCCAATTAATTAAATCCAAAAATAGCCTCGCAAAATATACTGTGAAAACGTTTTAAGAAACGCGTCAGCAAAGCGTTTATTTCAAAGTAAAATCCGAGCAAAAGAAACGGAAAGGAAATCTTTTTTACCTAAATCTAGATCTGCCAAACAGTAACTCTAACTTTACTCAAAAAATTAGGAAAAATAGCAAGTAATCCAGAAACCAGAGAACCTGAACAATTTCAGAGCGATAACAAAGAGCACTGCTAGCTATGAACAACTAGAAAGATTATGAACAACTTGAAAGCTTAATCTCAGAAATTAAGATAAATTCAGCACAATAATTAACTTTTAATGGCATTAACAGTAATTAAAGCAAAAGCAAACACGTACGAGCAGCAAGTAGCGAAAAGGAAAAATCAGATCCACAAACAGAACAAAAACGAGACAAAAATCAGCTTGAATGCACAGTAAAGTTGACCAAAACGACGGATTCGGCCTCGGAAAACCGAAAACAACAAAACCAGATCCACAAACACAACAAAAACGACGATAAAATCAGCTAAAACGCACAGTAAAGTTGACCAAAACGACGCCAAAACAGCGAGAAATGCAGCGTAAATTGAACGCAACGACGGTTACGGAGTCGGGAAAGCGAGGCGAGAACGTACCGGCGGAGGATCGGAGCTGCGAATCGGTCGGCGGATTGAAGCGGAAGCTTCAAGGGGAAGAGAGCGCAGATCTCAAAAATTGAAAGAGAGAAAGGAGGACGAGTGAATGGGGCGCTCAAGTAGAGGAGGAAAGGAATAAGCAGCTGTAAGTCTACGTGTTCCCGCTCTCTTTGTGCCTTCCCTTTTAAAGGGAAAAAATGAAAAATTTAAGTGAAAATTTAATTCCCAAGCTTTGGTGCTCGCGGAATCCGGATATTCCGGCCGACGGAAACTAACGTGTTTCCGGCTGGCATAGATCTGCTACGTGGCGGGCGGTGATTGGAAGAATATCGGGACCCACCGTCGGACAGAGACGGTGTTCCTAACGGTCGTGAGGTGCATTCTTTTTGGTTCGCTGCGATATCGTGAATCGGACGGTGAGTAGTCTCCCATTGAAACAAAACGTGTGTTGCTTTTCATGTGGGTTGGGATGGTGTAACTGACGGAGCAAGGCTATTTCTCGTGTGGCTTTTTGTGGCAACAAATTGTGTGTTGCCATGTCATCGGATGGACCATTCTAGTAGCAATGGAATGGTGGGAGGGGGGATATTCTAGGTATGATATTCACGTCTTCAAGTTCAATGGATAGAAGAATTATAAACATTCAAAGTATAAGTAGCATAAATGATTCTGATTATTTTTTCCAAACATGATGTTGAAAAGTGGCCTAAAAATAAACAGTTTTGATCATCAAATAATATTAAAATTTTGAAAAAAGAAACAAGATGATAGAAAGAGAAGGTCTAAGTAAGAAAATTGTTAACATCACTCATACAATATCGTTTAGATACGAAAAGACTTTTTAGCCAAAATGTTCTTTAAAATTGGCATAACTCATCATTTTAGCCCTTGAGATTTGAAATTGATAAAAATGGTGTCTGAGGTTGTCCACCATTAATTATTTTGGTCACTTAGCCAAAAGATCTCCATTAAATAAGAATAAAATGATAAAATATCTCTAGTTTTTGTCAAATCATTTTGGCCCATTATTTATTAAATTGAGGGTATTTTGATTCTTTTGGCCCTTATTTAACCAAATTTTTACTAAAATGATTGATGCATATTTTTATATACTAAATAGCATGACAAGTGATTGTAAAGTTGTAACCATGAGTGAAAATGTAGTTCAAATTCTCATTTGGCGAGAATTAAATCAAAAAATTTCAATTATAAGTAAAGAGAAATATCAATAGATCGTAATACTAACAACAATATTTCATATTAGTATGCAGTAAAACACCGAAAGTGATTTGTGAAAGAAGCGACGTCGAAGCAAGGAGAGCCGTCGAGGGAGCATCGTTTCCTAAATCTTAGGCATGTGGGTGGGGTGCGTAAGAGATGAGTGGGAATGCCTATCCATCCGAAGACTTTTGAATTTACAAATACCTACCAGTCTTCTTTCGGTAACTTTTCAGATATTTTTATTACGAAGTATTTTTGTTCATCGTCATTTAGTATGATGTATGATCATCATTCTATTTATCATCATTAGATGAATTTAAATTCAAGATTCATGTAGTGAATATGAACAAATCTTAAAATTCAAAACTCATCTAACGGTGATAGATAAGTTGGTGAGTATACGCCACACTAAATGGTAGTGATAAAAAATACTTTTTTTATTACCACTGTTTCGTGGAACAGTCAAAATTGCATTAAATATTGGGTCCAGGCAGCACACAAATGGTGGAGTTTAGGCGCAGGAGATTCGGACTTGACTTGCTGGCGAATGGTTCAAGAAGTTGATCTGAGGAAGATTAAACACGCAGACCGTGTCAATCTTGAGGACTTCTTCTGTTCTTCATGGCCAGCCATTACGTACGTTCCGACTTGTTCAATTTTTTTGGGTCGTCCGCGCCACGTCCTATTATTCGCTTTCGTTCGAGAATAACTTGTCTATAAATTTCATACACTATTATCGTCGTGTCTCCATTCTAACTGTTTTTATTTGGTTTTGTATTATCCATGCACAACTTAGTATTTATAACATAGAAACACTATGTTAACTTTTATTTGAAGTAAGCTTTCATGTTCTGAATCGAACTTATTTCCTCCAAAATACTGTTTAACTTCAACAAATGTCCGATCTCAAAAATCGACCTTTGCGCATTTTTATAACCTCATAATTTATTTTTTTCACTTATTTAAACTAGGTCAGTTCAAACTGACTACTTTGAACTTTAAAAGAGTTAGAATTACCTTAATGCCTCGTATCTAGCTAAGGAGTTTGCTTGTTAGGTAAACAGAACGCACAATATTTTGTAAGAAAACAATATAAACCATCTAATAGAGTTTTAGATGGTCACTTAATACTACGGTCTAGTGGTATTCCTCTTCATCATAAGTGAAAGGTCTTAGGTTCGATTCTCGCCAAAGACGAATTTGAATTACATTATTATTAGCCCATTGCGAGGCTAAGCACACCCCCTTCCCTAATTATTGATGAGTTTATATTTATATACAATACGTGATAGAACCTTAATACTCTCTTATTTATTTCTAATTAGACCATATGACAAGATCACATGCTTCGTGTCAAGATGACACTTTCATTGATGAAATTCCATGATACATATATAGCATTAGACTTACTTGAAAATGAAGTTACTAAACTTTTGCCATGTTGGTGACAATGATTTATATGGAACAATTTTACCGTCATAGTTGTTTCTCTACATGACAATACATTATTGGATCTGAACGAAACGAATATTGTGGATTCGTTTCATGTAAATTGTTTTTAGTATTGAGGAATATTTATGCAATTACAAACGGGTGGTGCTATACACACACACATCTCATTTTCGATCATTTGACCAAATAAATTTAAGAGAATCAAATGACAGAAATTAACAAGAAATATGTGAAAGGTAAAGGTGTGTTTGGATATCACCAACCTCACAAATTTGTTTAAAATATTCCTTGCAAAACTTAACTTGAACAGGCCCTGCTTTTGCGTATTATCGTCCTATGCAGCAATACACAAACAAAGGGATGGCAATTTGGGTAAGGAATCTTAACTTGCAAACTTCCACTTTGATTTTTCCTTATCTAGTAAAGAATCCATAGTTCGAAATTCCTACGCAATGCACTTTAAATGCTTTTAAATATGCTGAGCAATTTGATATCTTTTTTCTCCCTTCGTTTGGTAAATGAGCAAACTTGAAATTTGCTAGGATGTTTCTCATTTGGCGACTATATTGCACTAAGAATCTTGTTTTACAAATGTTACATCAATCGTAACACTAAGAATCTTGTTTTGCAGATGTTACATCAATTGCATTCATTCAAAAAGGAAGTGGCATAAAACGTAATTGTCACGTAATTTGAGACGTCTAAGAGAAGAATTCAAATTCTAATTCTAATTCTAATTTCAGTGGTCCAATAGTGCATGAGTACGAGTGAATCTAGAATGTTGCATCGTTTGACAGGGATGATTGACTTGGATTAATTTAATATATTGAAGTTATTTTGAAAGAAAAAATAGATTGTAACTTTCTTATTTTGTCAAAGTTAAAATTACGCATGAAGAAAAATTGTCTCTTCTAATCCTACCACTTTTTTAATGATTAGAAGGGATATTTTACCTAACTATCCTTCAACTTTGACAAAATAAGAAAGTTGACATTCGTTTCTTCCATCAAATGCCCTCAATATAATGAATGTTCATATTCAAGTTAATTTTCTCTAACAAACGAGGTTTTAATGTATTGACAACGTAGGTGCATCTAAACCGTGATGTATATTTTGATGCTCACTTGGATCAACGGTCATAAAAAGTGCTACTATGGCTACTCGCATGTAATATTTTTTCACTAGCTTTTAGGCTAAATTTGCTAATGATCGTCATCACAGGAGTTTAATTCTTAATCTTTTTATCGTAGGGGGTCATCATTAGTGTATCCTCGAACCACGGGGATGATTAATCCCGTACGGCCTAAAAATAAACTTCCAAGTGGAATTGCCATAAGATAAATTGGTTTTTTTAGTACAATGATATATTCAACACTAAGGGGGAGGGGGAGTTCGGCTAAGCCACACAATGTGCACCTAATTTGGTATTGAATTCACCATCTACAAGATTCGAACTTAAGATTTCTCACTTACAAGTGAATAGGAATATCATTAGACCGTAGTACTGAGCAGCAAGATAGATTGCTTTTAGATATTTAACATTAAGGTATTAACACGTGGCATCCCATCATTTTGAAAATGTAAGTATCAAGTTTTTATGATTGTTACTAGTACTACGGTCTAGTGATATTCCTCTTCACTTATAAGTGAAAGCCTTTAGATTCGATTATTGTCAAAGGAAAATTTTTTAACCTTATTATTGATAACCCATTTTGAAGATAATATTGTTTGTTAAATAAAAAAATCATTAATATTATGATCTACGGCTACTCTTTCTTTATTTGTAGGTGCATCGGACGTCCTAACCTCTTTTACAGTCTCTTAAAATGAGATTCGGGGTTGTCTTCTTTGCTCAACGTCCAAGTAAAAATAAGGCGCGTATGTGTTTAGTCTAGCCTAACAAAACTAACGCTGATTAGCTATGTAGTTAAGAACTGCAATCGCTTATGCTTGTATGCTCGATCGAAGACATGAGAGAATTCCTTGCTCAGCTAGGCACGATTAGATTACATTTTAATAGAAAATTGGTCGAATTCATTCACATAAATGACTAGTTTGATATTAATGTATGCTTGGCCCATGGTACTACGTCCAAATCGCTTTCCGTTCAAAATCATCACTTTCCAATATTCGTACATTTGAAGAATAGATATATATAGCTGGTCATTTTTTTTTTAGTACAACGATATATTTTACACTAAGAAGGAGGGAGAGTTTCGCTAAGCCACACATGGGCAACCTAATTTGGTATCGAATTTGCCATCCACAAGATTCGACCTAAGACCTCTAACTTACAAATAAAGAAGAATATCACCACACTGTAGTACTGAATAACAGCTGGCCAATTTATTAATATTGTTATTTAAATAAGAGATGGAAGGTCTGCAGAAGTCTTGCAATACAGCGCAAGCCTATCTGAGCTTGAATTTTGGGCTGTTCTTAAATTATTAGTTAGTTGGCATGTATTATATGTTTAATATTTGATTTAGATTTGAAATCTTCTAC